GATCCTGCTTATAAAACACCGCCGCGTTGTGTGAATGTGTTAATATCGTGCACTACATCTTGTGGGTCATCTTGTGGGTCATCTTGTGGGTCATCTCGTGGGTCATCTTGTGGGTCTTCTAGTGAGACTTCTTGTGAGACTACTTGTGGGACTTCTTGTGGGTCATCTTGTGAGTCTTGTGGGTCATCTCGTGGATCATCTTGTGGGTCATCTCGTGGGTCATCTCGTGGGTCATCTTGTGGGTCTTCTAGTGAGACTTCTTGTGAGACTACTTGTGAGACTTCTTGTGGGACTTCTTGTGGGTCATCTTGTGAGTCTTGTGGGTCATCTCGTGGGTCATCTCGTGGGTCATCTTGTGGGTCATCTCGTGGGTCATCTAGTGAGACTTCTTGTGAGACTATTTGAGAGACTTCTTGTGGGTCATCTTGTAAGTCTTGTGGGTCATCTTGTGAGTCATCTTGTGGGTCATCTTGTGAGTCATCTTGTGAGTCTTCTTGTGGGTCATCTTGTGAGTTGGTTTTTTTTGAACGGCAGAATTTGTTGATTAAGTCGTCGATATTTATCGTCAACTCATAGGGTGCAGGAACAGTGTGCGGCTGTTCGTTATTAACGTACTCATTTTGCAATGAAACACCATCGGCACGAGAGACTGGTGCAGGTACGTTTGGGGTGATATTCGATATAAATCGAATACTGGAACTCTTAGGAGCCTTTTTCATAACGATGGATTTTTTTTTAAAATAACATTACTTTTTACTTGGGAGAGAATCAAGTTGAAGGGAACGTCGTCTTTAAATAGTGAAATTTCTATCATTCCATATATATACACATATCGTTCATTAAATTAAACATCTAGTAGTGATTCCGGACTGCGTATTATACAACAAGGAGAAAAAAACACAAAACATTGAAGTTGAATTAGTGATAAAGTGATAATAATAAAACTTCTGCAAGAGAAAATTTTCATCGAAACCACGTATTACAGTATAAACAGTATTGTAAATACGTAGTCCGGAATCACTACTAG